CGTATCCATGCACAGAGTTTAAGGGGGACACTGCTGAGAGCCCCTCTCAGCACAGGGTCTTGATGTGACACAAGATGAGCAGAGGGGACTTCAGCCTTAACCAGGGGACAACTGCAAATCCTGGCTCAGGGTGACAGTGAGCGTCAAAGCAGGACAGAGTGATACTGGCTCTGGCAGAGCTAATCCCAAGTGGATTGCCTTCCTGGGAGGTGCTGAGCCCCCAGTTTCCACTACAGCCAGACACAGCCCAGGGGGTGCTGAGCACGCTCTGCGTAGCACTGAGCGCTCGAACGCAGCGTCAGCTGCTGCTGCCAGCCCCACTCACCGACAGAGAAGCCGCAGAGCTTTCTTGTCTCCATTTAATCATTGTATATACAGAGCTGTTGGGCTGTTATTTACATCCAAACACACTTCTCTCTGTATAACGTCACCACACAAGAGCAACAATTCGATTCCTCTCTGGAGTGCAGAACCCTGGAGGTGAGGGATCTCCTTCCGGCACGATGCCAGTGACAGCAGGAGTGGTGCAGCTGCTGCTGCCAGACAGTGGCAGAAGCTAAGTGGGACTGTGTGAGGCACAACAATGTGCCACGGTTGTGGTGTTCACCCTCAGGGTGAGACAGGAATGCTGGAACTAGCCCAGCTGGGTTGGTGTCTGACAGCGACAGCATCCAACCTCGAAAAAATCGTGGAGCAAAGCAGCTCTGTGCACAGTGAGTGATATAGGGGTTGCTCAGAACTTCTCCAGCACCAGGATAGCCTGCTTAGCCCATATCCTCATGGATGGAAGTTGCTGGAACTGATCAGTGTCCTCTGTTTTCTGTGTGGATATGCCTGGAGCATGACTCAGCTGTGTGCATGTGGGTGGTGTGACACTAGAGGTGCTCCAGGACTTCCCACCACTGGCCTGGCTCTCACAAAGATCTTGGATCATATTGCCCAGCCCTGTGTCAGGTATCCCAGAGCATCTCTAATATCTCTGCACCCCCTGTGTGGGCAACTGACCTGAGATCCTTGTGTCAACAGCTTGTACTATTGGCCAATGGCAAGTTAGAGATGATTTTGGGGGCAGTCCCTGGAGAATTACACGTGAGCCAGGACATCATGCTGAATTCCATTAGCTCCAAGGTGGAGAAGACATCTGGATTGTGGTCAAGCCCAAACTCTAGGAAGTTTCATGGGACAGAAACATTTTATCAGCCCTGCTTGAGCCTCCAAGAGACACGATGGCAGCCTCCTTGGCCATTCCCAGGATATGTCACCAAAATACCAGTCTGGCACCTCTTGGCTATCTTAATCCAGCGCTAAGACTCCAGAGCCTCAACACAGCCCTAGTTTGTGATGTGAGACCTCATTTAGTCATCATGTGAAAGCATTAAGATCTGGAAGGAGCTAGGTGAGCTCCCACGTGAGTACAAACAACAGGAACACAGGTGTCCCACCATCACTTTGCTCCATCTCTGCTGAGCAAAGGGCAGTCACCTCCAAGAGAGACACTGGCTGCCACCATGGGGCTGGACAGTGCTGGCACAGGGTAGAGTATGTGATGGGGAGCAGTGCATCCAGTTGTGGGGAGGATTCCTGAAGCACAGGAATCTTTTGTGGCAGTTTGGCTGGGGCACTTGCTAAAACCATCTGTATTTTATGTCACTGTAGCACAGGGGGTAGTTTTTGCAGGACAGCTGCGTGCTTGGGGGGGATCCTGGGTGAATCCCAAGAGAGGGAAAACCACCACCAGCAGAAGCACAGTGTCTTAATGGGTGTCTGCAAGGTTCTGTCATCCAGGGAATGCCCACAAATTGAGGTTGCTCAAAACTCTTGATCGAAGTGATGCAGTGAAGAAGAAGGTGAAGGGAGTGGACCTTTCCTCCTCCAAGATGAAAAATTTGTCCTCGCCACTCTGCAGTCCTGATGGATGCACAGTGAGGCCATCAATTCCCTGGGCAGCTCAGCACCCTCCAGCAGTCAGACAAACTTCTAAGCCTCCAGGTTTTGCTGGCTCCATCAAGACACTCTCATTCCTGGCACCACTGCAAAAACCATCTAGGAAAAAGATGACAGAGCAAACTTGACATGCTGAAGGACTTGGCTGACTGCTGCTGGCTGGTCCCAGGTGTGTGTGGGGGGGCAGGCAAGCCCCTGCTTCTTCTGCCCATGGATTAGGAAGCAGCTCTGGTGAGAAAGTGTCCCACAGGGTGACGCCGGTGTCTGTTCCTCCTGAGTGTTAATGCAGCAGGAAATCGTGGTGTGCAGCTCCTCAACAGCAGATCCTAGAAGCTCAGTCATTCTGGATGTTCTTGAGGCACTGACTTTAATGTTGGTTTCTGTGATGGTTAGTGGAAACCTCAGAGTCTATAGGGCCAGGAAGAGCAAAGGTGGGAATGACCCTCCAGGTTATTGGATACATCTTGTGGTGAGGGCACTTGCTGTTGGGTTTGTTCTTCATGTGGTGCCCTCAAAACCACTGTATAACCATCTGAGTCCAAGTCTCTTGTGATTTCTCTCTGCTTTGGGGTTGCAAAGCCCTTCACAAACACAGATGCCACACACTGGCACAACTGCTTTGGGAAGGAGGACAACATGGGTTTATGTGATGTGAAAAGAAAGCTGAGATGACACAAGACACCAGATCTCCAACCCTGACACTATGGGATGTTTGATTTTGTCTCAAAGGCCCAGCATATGAAATGGAGGAAGCTCTAGGATTTGCCTGGCCAAGTGCATGTGGATGTCTTCCTTGGCATGGCAAAGTCTGCTGCTGGGTGGCAGTGGCAGGCAGCTGTGCAACTTCCTTGGTGAGGTGGGTGGACTGATGTCCAAGATTGCTGGAGCATCTGCAAGATTTGTAGTGGGACCCTTCTCCACGCCCATCAGGAATCAGACCTAATCCCCCTTTTATGGCTGGTCCTGGGAGAGGGGCTTAGCCTGAGCTGTCCCGGTGTCTTCCAGGTGGATGTGTTTTGTCTTCCTCCAGCTCCAAGGACACAGGCAGAAGGGCAGGAAAAGACAGGTACTGTCAACTGGGATCTCGAAATGCCCTGGTCTAGTTATACATCTCCAATTCCTATGGCTCCTGGGATCGCTGCCAGCCACCAACAGCTCCTGGCCAGTAACACTGTCTGATGACCTTGGCTGGTGGTACTGACTGAAGTCTCCTCTCCCCTGCTCAGGCTCTTTGCTCAGTCTGGAGCTCACCACAACAATGTCTGTTCCCAAACTGAGGGTCAGACCCAGTGATGAAGAGGGGAGATGAAGAGGGGAGCTTTTCGGAAAGGGAACATGGAAAATGCACAGGTTCAGGGTTTTGTTTGGAAGATCTTCAGCCCCTCAGTGCCGTGAGGTTCTTCCTTCTTATGCATGTGAAATGTGATCTGGCCAAACTCTCCCCAGAGCCACCTCACAGACATTCCCGGATGTCCTGGTAGTAATTCTGACTTTGTTCTTCTAGCTGCTCCCTAGGACAAAGAGCCAAAATTCCTACTCACATTGACCCTTTGGCCACTGCCAAACTCCACTTTGCAATGCTTTTGTGCTCTTTACTGTGAATCATGGTAAAAAAGTGTCCATTCAAAGGGAGAACTGAGCCCGTTTTGCCCATGTTTCCAAGCTGAGTGCCAAGTTTTGCTGCCTCAGTGACAGTGCATGTAGGATTTGGTTATTATTTTGCCAGGGCATAAGCACTTGTGTGATCTTAAGTATTTTCCCTTCATACAACTGCTTTCATGCTCAGACTTAGTAGCTGAGTATTTTCTTAAGCTAGGCCTGTGTTATCTCCATCCCTAGAACATGTGATGCCATGTGGGATGGCTGTGGGTGCTGTTTGGAATGGCTGCACTAAAGGCTGATGCTCACCCCGTTGCTATCTAGCTGTGATGCTGATGTGTGGCCCCTGCAACTCCTGAGTGAGGCTTGGATGCTGTTTTTAAGTAGACCCTGGACCAAGAGAGTGCACCAAAGCGTCACTCGTTTGGGGACGGGGTAGCACAATTGCCCACTGTTGGAGCAAACTGCTAAAGCTTCAGCTTGCATAAACATCCCAAGGGTTTGGAGGCTCCCCCAAACCTCAATTCCATTGACTTTGGGAAGTAAGAGGGCTCTTGGGAAGGGAAATCAGCTTGGGTTTCCAAGCTGTTTTTCTTGCTGTAGCCAGCTCAGGTATATGGTAAGAGTAAGGGGACCAAGGCAGAGTTGGGAAGGTATTTCTGCTCCCAGGGCTGGTCACAACCCTGGAGAGGAGTGGAACTGCAGAAGAAAGCCACAAGGAATGAAAACGCAGCATATGTTAAGCTCTGCTGAGCCTCCAAAGAGGCTCCTGCTGGGTGATCATTCCTTGCTGGCTTGTTACCAGGACAGGCTCATCCTGCTCCTCAAGGATGTCCTAACCTCTTGCAACCATGGCAGCCATGGGCTGGCAAGAGGGAGTCATCTGGTAGAGATATGTCTGGTTTCACTGAAATCAGTGGCCAAACTCCCACTGACCTCACTAAGACCACCGTCTAGACAGGATACTTGATTCAGAACAGTGAGTTTGCTCATGATCCCAAGAGCTTTGCTCCATTAGCCAATGTGGCTAAAAACATCCTGGAAAAAAAACAAACCTGCCACTTTGAACTGTTTTGCTGCACATAAATGCTTGGAAAGCCCAAAGAAACCAAATACAACCCTCCGAAACAACCAACCAAAGAGGGGTGAATTGTAGGAGAGGGGGTGGCAGCCTCTAGCAAAGTAACAGTCACGGCAGATTACAAAAGAGCCAATTGACCCTCACCAGCTGTACTAGGAAAGAAACCAAAAGAGATGTCGCATTATCGATAGAAAAACAACGCACATCCACAGTTATTTTACCTACAGAGCACAGAAGTATAGAGTAAGGGTGATGGGGCTTGGTGTGAGCTCACACCGCTCCGACGGTAGCGTATTATCCTTCGGAAGATCACTGGCTTGAGTAGGTAGTACATGCACAGCAATATAAAATGACGTTGTGGTGTCTTGGTCTCTCCTCAGATCTCGGTGGACTCTATTCGCTCGAGTCTCGAGGGAGTCCATGTTTTCTTCTCCTCGGTGTGCGGGGGACTGGTGGCCTTCGTGTTCATCTCGTTCACCTTGTGCTCCAGGAGCTGGTTCTTCTGGTACATCTCCACGTAGTTCAGCTGCAGCTGCTTCTGGTACTTGATGACTTTCTCCTTCTCCTCTTGCCACGTGCGCCGCTCCTCCTCGAAGTCCATCACCTGCTGTTCCCGCTGCTGCCGCTCCAGTTTCAGCTCTGTCTGGAGCCGCTCCACCTCCTTCCGCAGCGTGTTGACGCTGTCCTCACTCTGCCGCTGCATCTTAGCTTCGTCGCTCTCGCAGGCCAGTGGGTCCCGCAGCTTCTCACCAAGGTCCCCATTAAAAGGTCCCGGAGGTCCCATGCTGGCAAGTGTCCGCTTCAGGCCAGAGACCTCTAGCTCACAGTGGTTCAGCTTTTCCCTCAGCACTTGGACCTCGCTCATCTTTCGCTGCAACTCGCTCTCACAGATCTCCAGGTTGACACTCTTGGAGCTGTAGGAGTCCTTCAGGGTGAGGATCTGCTCCTCTTTCTCCCGTAGGAAGTTCTTACCTTCCTTGAGCTGTGTGCGCAGTCCCACAATCTCATTCAGCTTCTGGGAGACATCTGCTTGGGAGTCCTTCAGCTGCTGCTTGAGCAGGGAGATCTCACCTGCCTTCTGGCACACCTGTGGGGACAGCATAGATGAGGCTGGAGGAAGACAGTGAGGAGCCAATACCCCTGCTTGTCCCCTGTGCCACCCATGAAACAACCCTGCTCCAGGACTGAGTTCCAGCCTTCAGAAGGACCCAGACCATGCCAAAGACCTAGAGGTTGTCCCCACATCTGTGGGGGAGATTCGGTGTGTCTTCCTGGCTCTCAGGGACCTGATGCTGTTCCCAGCTGGAGCTGACCAAGGAGCTAAGCTAAGTGCTGTGGTCCTCGCCAGTGATGCTGTCTGTCCCCACTACATTCATCTTACTCACCTTACCAGAAGCCTGTGGTGCTTGACCCCAAACCTTCTGCTCTCAGCACGAGTTTTCCCACTGAGCTCAATAGCATCCAGATCTTGAACAAGTCTGAGACAGAAACATCTCAGACCTAGAGACCACCTGGACTGGGATGGTAGGATAGTAGATACTACTTGCTCATCCTATGAGGCTTTCCTTCCCTAAGACTCCTGAAGAACCCTAGAATTGCTCAAGGCTTCAAGGATGGGGCTTGGAGCAATCTGGTCTAGTGGAAGTGCCCCTGCCCATGGCAGAGGGGTGGAATGAGATGTTCCTTGAGATCCCTTAAAAGACCTGGGCAGAGCAGCTGGCCAAAAGAGGGACAATGCAGCCTGCTCATTCTGGGATGGAGCATGCAGAGGTTTTACAAGTCTCTAATAAGCTCTGCTGAACATCTGCAAAAAGCACATTTCGGAGCCTAATTAATCCCAGCTTCATTGACTTTTCATCAGGATTAGCAGCATAGGGTCTTCTTGATTCTAGAGCTACATTTTGCCTCTGCACTCTTAATAAATTTTAACTTCCTAGCCAGTCCATGGAAGGATTAAAATTCTTCACATGATCAAGCTGAAAAAAAAAAGTATGTTAGCACTGGCTATACAAATAGACTTTGATAAAATGGTCTATAAATAGAAACAGTAGGAAAAATATTTAGGACTCAACAGGAGAACTAGAAAGAGGAATTTGCCTCTCAGCCTTTTCAGAGAGATAAACTTATTAATGACTGAAAACAGTGTGTTACAATGGAAAGCATGAGGCAAATTTGGCTATTGATATCATTCTTAGCTCAGTTTTCTATCTTAGGTACAAAAAAATTCAAATCTTTGAAAAGAGGTTTCAAGGTTTGCCCAAACGCAGATGTTAGAAGAATTTAATTAAAATAGACTTAAACCTGGTTTTGGTAGGCACAAATACCTGTATGGAAAGATCTGTGTTCCCTGAAACTGGATTCAAATGTTACAGGTTGGAGTGACAAACAGTGAAGCAAATTATACTGGCACAGGAGGTGTACACAGAAAGTTGTACTTATTTTAGTTTAATTGAAAACAACAGGTTCAGGACTCCTCAGATAAATAAGGTGACAAGTGTTATCCATTACCTGGAAGCCACTAGCCCACAGCCATTATCTGTGGGCTCCACTGAGGGCGCATCGGAAGTACTTTGGGTTAACAGAGCCCTCAATGAAAACCTCACTCAAGCTCTGCTACAATAATGCTCTTACCTCCCACTTGGTCTCTTCAATCTTTGGGAGAAACTCAGCCTGCTCCTTCTTGAAAGCCACAAATTTCTTCTCCAGCTCCTCTCGTTGCTGGAGGAGTTGTCCCATATCATCTTGGAGTTTTTTTTTCTCCTGCTGGAGCTTGAAAATTTGAAGCTGCAAAGCCTGCTGAGCCCGCTGCGCCTTTTTGGAGACCTGCTGCAATTTGTTGGCATAGTTTTGCCTCAAGTCCTCCATTTCCCTCTCCCAGATCTTCTGCTTCTCCTCAAACACTTGGAAGATGGCTGCCTCGCTTTTGTCCAAGTTCCTTCGCATCTGGAGGACCTCCTGCTCTTTCTCCCACAGCCTGTCTTCCAGGTCTTGGATGATGTCATCCGTTGAAGGCGAGTGGAAAGGCATTGTTTCGTTGAGATGGTTCAGTCTGTTGAAGGAAGAGGTGCTCTTGCTGGAGGACCGCCCGCTGTCTGAGGTAGATATCCCGTTGTATCCCACAATGTTTTTCTCCACGTAGGTGGTCCCAATGCGGTTGATGTGGCTTGTGGAGGCGCTCATCGGGCCCACGTGCTGGCTGTAGCCTGTCCCGTAGGTGGGCAGGCTTGTTAACGAGTTACGGCCTGAATCCGACAGGCCTCCCCCTTGGTTTGTAGTCCTGTTAAGGCTGCTCTTGTCGAGTCCACTTTTGGGTGCGGACGGGCTATTGCTGTTGGCATGGTTCAAGCTCTTTCTGTTCTCTGTCATCCCGTTGCTCTGCGGTGGGCAGAGGTTCTGCATGGAATGGAAGTTTTTAGGAACTACTGGTTTAAAGGCTGAGGGTCTAACTAAGGGCTCATTGCTCTGCAAAAGGAAAAAGGACCAGGCATCAAACATAGCAGCAAGTTCAGTAACAACACACAAAAGAAGACGCATCGGCACAGGGTGGAGCTAGGATGCCTTGGGCTGTCTCTGTATTACACCCTATTACACCCTGGAGCATTTGGGATTGTACAGGAGGGAACTGTGGTCACTCTTAGGGCAACATTTTCATCTTCCCTTGTCCCAAAAGGAAAGAAATAATCTTGACTCACCCTAAATGTTTTTTCCCTAGAATACTCCTTGCGTCTTGTTAGTGCTCTTTGCTAGAAGGAGGGCTGCCACTTGCCTACCAACCTGATGAAGACAACTCTGATTTTGGCAGATTACATTTTGAAGGACTCTTAGCCTTGAGAGTGTATTTCCCTGTGGCTGAAAACTGAATTGAACCCTTGGATTAGCAGCTATTTTGCCCCAGGAGTATCACAGTTCCCTTCTGCCAGCAGTGACCTGTCCCTGTGTGTACCTTGTGTCCTACTCATGCTCAGACAGAAGCAGGTAGGAGCTGTGACCCCAGCAATGACCCCAGGCAGGGAACATGCCAAAGCTGCTCTTCATTTGAATGTTTGTGTTTTCTGTGGTCATAAGGAATGCTAGGGGGAGAATGGACACAGCTGTAAGGGATTTAGAAAGGATTTTAAAACCTTGTACATTCCTCACCCCATTAATGCACCTACAGAAACAAAATTTTCCTCAAAATGGGATTGAGACTTGCCTTCTGAAGGTTGGATTTTAGGTGAAAATTAAACCAAAGGAAGCAAAGGTGCTTTGAAAATGCCTTCCAGGAGAAACAGAATGAGCCCTGGTGAACAGGTTAGAGGTTGAAGACCAAAAACCTGGTGCCTGCCATGTGAGCCTGAGATGGACTACAGGGGCCAGTGGATTAACAGCCCAGAAGAAAAGGCCACCAAGCACCACAGAAATAATACTACACACAAATTATGGAAGTCATTGGAGCAGAGCAGCAGGCTACATAAACCACCACTGGCTCTGGGGCTCTGCTCCCACAGGCCTGGGAGATTTGCTTCCCTGAAGTCAATATGAGCCACAAGGACTGGGCTGTGATGGGCGGTAATGTTTACAGGGGTAGTTTCCAAGCCTTGTCACCCTGTCCCTCACAAGGGGCGCTGGGATTTTGAGCTCATGCTCATAGCTGCTTTCAAGCAACAGCTTTTGGTGGCAGTAGGTGGTCAGAGATTGCCTATAAAAGGTACAAAACATGAGTGGGACTCAGCTGCTTGACCTACTGAAACAAGAGCCAACTCCAGCTCCCTCCCCATCAATCAGGGAGGCAGGCACAGCATCTTGGGTAGACTGGAATAGCCAGTGACTTAAGACAGGCTTAAACCTCTCTGTGGAAGACTTGTGATCATGATCTTGGGTTCCTCAAGAACTAACAATCCCCGTGAAAGTAATAAGAATTATATTATCTGTACATAAAAATGTACATGGTAAGAATTAGACTATCTGTCAGGATTACACCGTTGCCCAAGGCTTTCTGCTCTGTGTCTGCAGAGATGTGCCACAGTCATCAAGCTGCTCCAGGAGGTGTGGGTTCTCACCTGGTCTAGTTTGCCGGAGATTGGCAATATCTTTGGTGGGTTACTGGGCTCTCGGTACTGGGGAGGAGGCGGCAAGTTCTTCTCATTGTTGGTGGTCACGTTCCCACAGATGTCCATCTTCACCTTCTCGCTCTTGCGCAGGTCGCCGTTGATGTAGAGAGAATTGGAGACTTTCTCCGTCTTGTATGTCTTCTCCTCGCCGGAGTAGCGGTTGGAGATCTCCCGTGTGGAGTACCCGTTGCGAGACCCCTCCATCTGCCGACCACTGCTCTGCGTCCGGGTCCCCACGCTCTTCATGGCGAACTCCTGGTCATTGGCCACTCCGCTGCCCACACTCCCCATGGTGCTCTTGGAGATGGTTTGGGATGGCCGGGGAGCAAAACCGTGGAATTTCTCCGGGTTGGGGTAGGTTGGGTCACTGAGAATGGGCAGTGTCTCTAGCGTGGCCATGGCAGCGTAGAGGTGAGGTGGAGGCACAGATCAGTGGCACTGGGGGAAGGAAAGGACTGTTAAAGAGATGCCTTTTATCTACCATCCCCTTTGCAGATCAAAATCATGTCCCACTGTATGGTATGGAGCAGATGATACGGTTGTCCTCCTCTCTGGGACCCCTAGACCCCTTGGAGAGGCCATGTGCCCCAAATTCCACTCACTGCTATCCAAAAGAGCTCCTCTTAATCTTCTCAGTCTAAGAGTTGGGTGCTCCCAGGGGAGTAGGTTGCATGGATTTTAGTGGGCACAGCTCTACAGCATCAGACAGACATGCCAATTTGCAGTTCCCAAGGTTGAATTATGTCTGTCGCTTTTCCCAGGTTTGAACAAGTTTGTGTTGCCATGGGAATATAAGGTCTCCATCCCCGGCTCGTACAATTGCTCCCTGCAGCACATCCCTTAGGGATGATTCAACAGGGCTTAAACAACACACTTTCCATCTCTTCCTTGGGAGTGTTGTCCCATGGACTTGAGCTTTTAAAAAGATGCTTTTGTCCAGGTGTCATCCTAAATTTTCTTTTAAACCTCTATTCTCTTTCTCTATTTTATTCTTACTGTAGGCTGTGCCAAAATTAGGTCATGGGAAGCAGATAATGTGAAAATAGTAATTAAAAAAGTTGTCTTTGACCAGGTTAAAGGATCTGGATTGTCCTGGGACCAACTGCCCTTGGGCCCAATCCTCTCATGTCTGGATACTCTTCCTCAGCTTTTACACAAAGGTGTGAAATCTTTTCTAAGGAAATAAAAGACCCACAACAATGTTTTTGGAGAATCTGAACCTGTATGAGCTAAGGATCTCATTACCTGAGGGAAGGGAGAAGGTGCATTGCAAATTCTGGGTGACTGAAGTGAATCCTGGGTCTCTGTATTTGGGGGAAAGACACTCACAGCTCAATTCAGACACTGGTGCACAAGTGTTCAGGCCCCTGGGGGTGTATATGTCCTCACAGTGCTGCTCCAGAAAGGCTTGGGTACCCCTGGAGTCCTGCCTCCTATCTGCCAGTTTGTGCAGATGGCTTTGATACCTTCAGACTGGACACAGCCAAACTCCTGGAGGAACACGATCAGTACCACGTGGACAGCTGTGACACTCAGCTGAGCAGAGTCCACCCAACCCTACTGAATTAATTGGCTTAGTCCCCACAGGCCAGAAAGGATGCCTTTTTTTTTTGTCCTGGGATCCCTCGGTTCCAGGTTTTCCAGGATAAATCATCCTGGCAGTGTGGGCACAAAGGCAGGATTTAAGGACAGTAGAAGGTGCATGTTTTACCTGGATGGGATAACAAAAGCAATGTCCTTCGGAGAGAGGTTCAGGGATGCGAGGGCCCAGCAGATAGGGGAGATGTAGAAAATCCCCATTTCAGTGGGGTTTTCCCTCTCCTTGGGGTAGGGATGTTCAATCAGCCCTCCCTGAGTAATGCAGGAGAGATGGGTTTATTTCCCTGGAGAGCAACCTTAGGTCTAGAGCTCAGCTCCCATGTGGTGTCTCACAGGGTCTTGCTATTTGCACTAATAATAGAATGGAAAAAGAATTAAAAAGGTTAAAGCAGAGTCTGTGCTGCTTGACTTTGCTTTTATTAGATTGCATTTCTGGAGGCTTCTCCTCCCTCTTTCCAGCATCTTGCTCTGTCCAAAATACAACCCACCTGTTGTGGGCCTGGTGGGCAGATGGAGCAAACTGCTGTGCTGGAGGTAGAGGACACAGAGCTGATACCTACAGTGAGCTGGCAGACCTCCTGTGGCAATGGATGTGGTCAAAGAGGGAAAAAGTGGTTTAAGGAGGTGCTGTGGTAAAAGCCACCATCCCAACTGAAGTCCTGGTGAGGTGTGCAGGAGCCTCCATGGTCTGAGAAACACTGGAAATATCCCATCATGAACAGGTGACAAGGTAGCTCTGAGGCAGAGGATGTATCTGTGGTGAAACCTCCATCCTACATCACCCCACCC